AGAGAAAAAAACTTTAAAGTAAATTTCAAATTTAAGATAAAAATCGCTAAAGTGGAAAGAAATTCTCAAAGTTAGCTGTGCTACATCTTCAGCTACTTTGACCTTTATTTTTTTTTCAATTTGTACTTTTATTGAATTTTTCATAACAGTTGGGGTACAGAAAGGAAGAGGGGTAGGTGGGTAAAAGGTAAGTGGCAAGTACACACCAAAAACGAAATGATACAACAATACATTTCAATTCACAGTGTCAGCATACTTCACAACTGGCAAGACCTGATTTTGTATTTAGTGGCAAATTAATTATATAACCTGCCAAACCCAACAGTATATAGGTACAGGTGAATATGCTATTGAGGAACGACTCTGGCTAAAGAGCATATCTGCATATTTGCCCGTAGAGTGATCCTCCGCCTAAGTTTGGACAATTCGATCTTACAATCGAGGGTGGACGAGGTTGGTCGCCCTCTGGTCAGTGTTGCTGCTGAGTATACCTATGGTGACTTGTGCTGCTCCCTATTATCGTGAGGTTTTCTTTTTTTTTTTTTTTTTTCAGTTTTTCTTTATTTCGTAAAGACAAGTTATGGGGTACAGAAAAGAAGAGGGAAGCAGTCCGTTGTTACAGATCGGGGTTACATAACAATATGTGCATATAAATATACTTCCATCCCTGCTTGAGTCTAAGACAAACCCGGTTACAGTTAACTTTAGATCTGTTGAATCCTCTTGGGTAAATCCTTGCAGATGGTGCTATTGTCTTTATCTAGAACCTATGGGGGTTAAGAGGTAACTCGGGGTAGTAACCAGTCGGAGGGTTGGGGAGTAATGGGGAGTGGGCTGGGAAGGGGGTCGAAAGGGGGACCTGCCTGGTGTGGTGGGTAGTCCTTGGTCCTTGTGTTGGTCGTGTATTCGGTCGTGTGCATTGGCTTATTTCCTGGATCTCTAGGTGATCAATCTAGGAGAGCGGGGTGGTCTTTTCCTCTGGGGATCTATTCCAGAACCCTATCCAGGGCTCCCATCTCTGGAGATATTTCTGTAATTTCCCTATTGAAGTCCAGTGGATGTCCTCTAGTTCTCTGGTTCATTCTACCCTTTGTACCCACTGTTCTATGGATGGGGTGTTGGTATTCCGCCAGTTTAGCGGGATAAGGGCGTTTGCTTCCCCTAGTAATAGGTGTAGCAGTTGTTGTTTGTGGGGTTCCGTAAATGTGCGGGGCCAGCTTAGTAGTACTTGGGATGTTGTAAGTCGGGTCGGGGGTTTCAGTATCATGGTTATTTTAGCGAGTATGAGGAGCCAGAAGCCCTGAATGTCTCGGCAACTCCACCAAATATGTTCTATAGTTCCTAGACCGGTGGAGCATCTCCAGCATATGTTACTGATTGATGGCCAGATTGAGTGTAGTCGGGTTGGGGTCCTGTACCACCTGGTGACTCTTTTATAGAATGTCTCCCTGTGTGCTACACTGGTTGGGGTTTTGATTCCCATTTCCATGATCCCTGGCCAGTCTTTGTCAGAGATATGTATTCTGAGATCTTTCATTCAATTCTGTTGAAAGGGGAGTGGTTTGTGTTCCTCCACTGAGCCCTGGAGGATGCGGTAGACTTTAGATAAAGGGCGTCGGGGGGTCTCCCTCTGGGCCACAGAGGTGTTCAAAGGGCGTGTCTGCTCTCTGTTTCCAGAGGGGAATAGCGGTTCTTTTCAAGAAGTTTCTGAGTTGGGCTTTGCCTATCACCTCAATGAGTGTGTCTTGTCTATGTGGTCCATATATGGCCTTGACCGTGGGTGGGGCCCCATGTGCTTAGTAGTATTGTGGTGGCAGGGTTAGTACATGGGGGGCGAACTAGGGAAAACCATAAACTATTTACATAGGGTTGAGATGAGAGGTTCATCTCAGGTGGTGAGATTGGCGCTGCACTTGTGGGTAACTCTACGTGACCACAAGTGGAGTCGGGGCGCCTCTCTGGGGGGTAGCGGTCGGATCTCCCAACCGGGGGTATCCAGGGGTTCCAGTGGGGCAATCATGGATGTCATACATTTACCCCTCATCCACCTTATCGGGGGGGTTATGGGGTATGCGGTGAGAGCGACCTCGGTTTGAGCCCCGTGGACCCGGTCTCCTGAGGCCCTAAGGTTGAATAACGTTATTAGAATCCTATTGCAGGGCCCTAGAGGCCGGTAGCGGCTACTATTGAAGTTACTAAATAAAACATAATATAGCATAGCAGTGCAACATTGGTTACATGGTGTAGAGAGTATTTAGTTGCATTGGCATGGCCTTCTAAGGTAGAGATATATGGCATAATATCGACAGTAGGAAAGAGAAATAATAGATATAAACAAAAGCAAAACATATGGGACATGAGTGTGCGTTTATACGACCGTAGCAGTTCTCAGGTTGGTTCTTCCCTGGTTGGATCGCTTATGTCTGTTCCGGGGTGGTTTTGCCTGCGCCTTTTCCTCGGGGATCTTTGCCATTTGGGCTTTTGTGGGGTCTGGCTTGTCGGGTTGGCCGCCAGCCCTGTCCAGTCTTTCACTTCAGACGGTGGGAGTTTGAGTGCCCTCTGGAAGTCAGGAACGTCCTCTGGTGAGGTAATAGTGTGGGTTTTGTTCTGGAGGTTGACTGTCAGTGCAAACGGGAAGTTCCATCGGAACTTTATTTGTTTCTCTAGCAAGGCCTGTGTGATGGGCCGCAAGGCTCGTCTTGCTTGTAACGTGGATGGTGCCAGGTCCTGAAAGATCGGCACCGGTTGGCCGTCTATCATTAGATCTTTGTTTTGGCGGGCTTTACGGAAGATTTCTTCCTTTAAGGGGAAGTTGTGAATGCGACAGATAAGGTCTCGTGGTTTATCCGGAGGGAGGTTTCTGGGCCTAGCGGCCCTGTGAGCCCTGTCAAAGGTGATGGCTGTGTCTTTAGGTCTGGCTAGGATGCGATTAAAGAGGGTGGTTAGAACCAGTATGGGGTTTTCTGTTGCACCCTCCGCGCTTTCCGGGATTCCCCACACCCGTAAGTTGTTTCGGCGCCCCCTGTTGTCTACATCGTCCAGCCTCCTTTGTAGGTACCTTATTGCCTCTGCATGTGTTTCCTGGGTGTCATAGGCTTCAGCCCCTTTTTTGTTGATGTGTTCTGCCTCTTTCTCTAGGTCTTGTACTCTGGCTCCAAGCTGTTGCACGTCCGCTGCCACTGCCTGCAGTTTCTCACTGAAGCTGTCCTCCAGTTTCTGGAACATCGCTGCCAGGTCTGTTTTTGAGGGCAGTTGTGTCAGCAGGGTCCGGATCTCTTGATCCTCCGTGGAGCCCTCTGATGCCGTCGGACTTGATGGCTGGCTGCTGCGTGTTTGTGCTGCGGGCGCCATTTTGTCCTATCTGTGCGGGTCCGCTTGTTCGGCGAAATACCTTCTCAGGGAAGTTTTTGCTGCCAGGGTGTCAACTGCTGGGGCCTGCCCGGTTGTGTTACGCCGCTTTTTAGCTGCCATTCTGGGTATGTTGAGCCGCGTTCCCCCTTTATCTCCCGGTCGGGATCCGGAGCTCACCGCTCATGCGACCATGTCCTCCGGCTTCCAGGCCACGCCCCCGAAATTGAAATTGTCGTGAGGTTTTCTATATCGCTCCTCCCTTCTACTTGGTTTACCAGTGTCTGTGTGGGATGTAAGTTCTAGGCTATGGTATTAACTATGGTACTGACAGTGGGTCAAAGGCTATCCACTTCTGCCAGTTATTGTGTGTGGCATTCCCATGCTTAGTCTTAGATGTAGATAATTGCTCATACCTAAGGTATGAGCAATTTTACTATACAATAATTGTGACGGTGGACACTCTTTCTGCTTCCAATAATATGCTAGGAGATTACGTGCTGCCATGATTACCAGAATCATTAGCTGTCTATCCTGGTAAGGGGTGGTCGTAGGTAGCAGAAGAAATATACCTATCTCAGGTGTAATCTTACCCCGGAGGACCCCTAAGGAGTTACAGATCGTCTGGACCTCCGTCCATAACAGTTGTATATTCGGGCATTGCCACCATATGTGACTCATTGTACCTCTGTTCTGTTCGCATCTCCAACATTGCGCTGAGGACAGTGGGTATATTTTATTAAGTTTGTCAGGTGTGAGATACCATCTGTAAATCAATTTTTTGTGTGCTTCTACATGTGAGTAGCAGGATGTAATTCCTTTTAGCGCTAAGATTGATCTCAGTCACTGATCATTATTAATGCGGTTAGCTTGTTCCCTATTTCACTGCGCTATAAAGGAGAATTCTGGCATTGTGGTATTGTGTCTTAGGACTGCATAGCTGAGGGATAGTGAGTGGTACTTTGACCTTTTTTTGAAGTTCTCAACAAAATTCTCAGAATTTTTAGAAACATCAATATTTTTCTGCTCATAGTTTGGAGTTTGCTTTAGTCCAAAAAGGTGAACGTCATAAGGACTTTATATTTAGTAAAAATTAATGTATACCATTGTTATGCATATACAGTAAGAGGGATATTATTGAATTCTTGCAATCCATTGTTGAAGAAGGAAAGATTTTCAATATAAATAAAAGTACTACAAAATACAAAGGTTTGATCTGAGGTTGGAGATTGACATCCAATGTACATAGTAATTACTAACAAAGTAGTAGAACAAAGCAAAAAATACTTTTGATATATGCTAGTGGATTTGTTTCATAACTGAAACTGGCTCCTCTTCTTATTCATTATATCTAAAGCTTCAGATTGCTGGAATATTCTACTCACTGTGAATGTAATACTAGTGGTTGTTACCTGTGGATTAAGGTGGCTTTTCAGAATAGCAGGTTATAGTACTGCCTTCATTTTACCGGAGAACCGTTCTGCTCCAGTTTGCAAAGTACAAGTCACTATTTCCATTGTTTATAGTTTACTATTCTTGCCTTATAGCATGTGTTAGATTTGGTTGTTTCATGTGTCTTTGCATGTCAAATGCAGCCTTATTGATTGGCTAACATACTGAAGCAATACTGTTTTTTTTGTTTTTTTTAAATTCTTTATTTTTGCAGTGCTTAGCTTTAACAAACATGCTTGTATTGCCACAATAGCAAGTACAAGCCGGTGAGATAATACAGATTATACAGCACCATGGCAATTATTAACATTAATTTTTTTAATTTTTAAATTGTTGTTGAAAGCTTAACAATATGGTGAAGATAGAGTTAATCTGCAGTTAGTACACATTGTAATGGCATTCAAACAGTACCTTAAGTCTGATAGATAAGAATAAACTCATCATGTTAAATAAAAATAACACACAAAGGTCCTATTTAGTATTAATCTGATAATTGAAGAACGGTGTTGCAAGACATCTAGATCTATAACGATTAAAGACAGTGTTATTTATGAGAAGAGTGATAGCAGGTTATGGAAGATAAAGGTATGAGGCTTATGCTCCTGCACACTTCAGCAGGCTATTCCGCCTAACTGTCAGCAGTTAGCCCATGCTTTCTGTCGGTTAGAGGTAAAGTTAGCTGGAGCCTCAGGGACATGCGACCGGTCAGCATGGCGGTCAGGCCCCGCCCCCCCCAGTAATACTGGTTTTTACATCAAAACTCCACAAAAACTGAATGGCTATGATAAATCTCCCTCAATAATATTCAACAAACATGACAATCTACAGATATGAGAACATGTCAAACATATCTATGCATTCAGTTATACTACTTACAAGGTGCAATAAAGTGTTTAAGTGAACTATAAATATTTACGGAGATTTGAAATTAAATTTGACAAGTAAGTATTTAAACAAATGTGATTTAATTAATACCTTTCCAATAAAGAATTGAAAGCCTGTAATGAAACAATTTTAAATTGATGCTTTACAATGTCTATTGTTAGTTTATAGTACTATGGATTTTGGTAAATTATTTTTTGGGAAAGTCATTGGGCTATTTATTATTTCCAGTCAAATTACATTTTACAGTTTTTTTTTTTAGGTTTAATATATGAAAAATAACATCTACACAGAACACAGTGCTATTCTATCATGACAAAATCTCTGCCAAAGACTGTTGGATGTTAATAGATTTCCGCTCTGCAGAAAATATAAATTTTCAGGCGTTAACACTGCATGTAAAACTACAATATAAGAAAAGGTGGTGGAAAACAGTTTAGATTATGATCAAAAACTACTCTATAGCTAAAGTATAAAAATAACAGTACAGTTGAAAGTCAGTTATGGGTAAGATTCATTGGCTATATCTCTAGGTTCTTTCTTTTTTCCTTTTACATAACGGACAGCTGACATTTTGCAATTACATGTTTCTTTTACAGACTTTCATTTGAGTTAATTTTTTATTGTGGTTCAATAACATGAGTTTTCTAAGTTGTTAAAACAAATAATGAATAATAAAAATATAAATCTATGGGCTATAGTGAGTGATGGGGGAATAGGTGCTGTTATGTAGGTGTGTGGGGAAACAGACTGTATTGGGGGTTGAAGACTGTAGTTAGTGTTTTGGGGGGAATTGAGACTGCAATGCATGCCAGTGGGGGATTAGGGCTAAAGTCTAGGTGTATGGATGGTAGGAACTGTAGTGTGTGTTTGGTGATGATAGGAGCTCTTGTGTGTTAAGAGGGAGATTGGGACTGCTGTGTTTTGGGAAGGGAAAATGGCTTTAGGGTGTGTTAGCAGAGTAACAGTCACTATTGTGGGAATATAGTGAGGGAGGTAATAAATATATAGAGATTTAATACATATTAAAAAAAGTTACGTTTATTCCCCCCTCCCTCTTTCTTACCATTGCCTGCGGTCTGCACTATTTGGTTCCACCATTAAACATTTCCGGGGCTGCAAACTGCAAGCTCCATGGTCCACCACATCAAGAAAATGGGTTCTCTGGTGAGGGAGAACTTTGATCTCACCATCAGCCATGTCTCCCCTCTACTGCCATGCAGTCCTATGGTCTTGACCTTGATGGCCTTAAGGTAAGTCTAACCCTGTTTATAGCTCATTGTAAAAAGGACTGCTGAATTACATCCAGGGTGAAGGAGGAGTTAGGAATTGTTCTGGCAGTAGATTAAGGCATATTTGTAGGCAGTGATGTTTTAGCTAGACAACTCTATTTACTGTATGTACCCATTATGATTCCGTTTTCAGAATTTATCATTAGGATATCTAACCATTTTTTTATTTTATTTTGCACCTATTATATATTGTAAATTGCTATTTTCCTCTTTTGACATTTTTTTTTTCCAAAACCTGTATAAAATGATAATGTTTAATCTGTAATACAGATTATGTGATTCCACCATTAAAACCATATACTACAGAAACTTTGATCATTGACACTGCAGACATTTTACTTTTTAACTTTTATTTGTTTAACAAGCTAGCAAATATTGAATTTTCACAGAGTCTGACTCTGTCTTAAATTAATCAAATGTGCTTCATGTTCAACAAACAGTAATGTCTGTTATCAGTTGCTAGGCAGTTTGATTTTGAATTGTTAATGATAGTTGCTTTTTGACCATGAGATATTTATTAATTGCAAGTGTGCAATTATTTAAACAATGTTCAAGGAGTGTGAATGTGGTGTTTTATGTTGTTCCATTGAGAGGAAAATGTGTTAGACATATGTCTTGTGCTGCATGCTGATATTCTTTGCTTTGGCATTTGTTGCTGTTATTGATTGTATTATGTAACAGAATGAATATTAATGATCTATGCAGTATTAATTAGGGATTATTCTAGCCTCGGTGAGGGAATAATCTAATTTTTTATTAAAGACAGGAGGTGAATATTTGCTTTACCTTCTTTACTGAAAACCTCCAGCAGCAAAGAAATAGTTAACAGAATGTTTTCAAACAACCAATCAGAACAACATAACAGCAGTATGAAATCCCTCAGTCAGACCCTCCCACTTCCTCTTTCTTTGATGAGGTCGAGCAGGAGAGCAAGGAAAACCAACAAATCCCACTTGTAACAGGCACATCGAGAGAAGAAATCACCAAAACCAGAGGGAAACTAAATTACACTGTAAGGAAAAAGAAACATTGTGAAAGTAAACTGTCAAGGCAAGATGTCTTATCCATATAATATTACTCCCACAGTATAATACAAGAGGAATAAATGCACACGGACAACAAAAAGTGTATATAAGAAAAAAAAAAATCTTTATTATACAAACATAAGACCATATATTGTAAAACATAACAATATCCCTAAGTAACATAAGAGAAAAAAAACAATACCAGATAGGGACACGTAAAAGGGTGGGAAATATTCACCTCCTGTCTTTAATAAAATTTAGATTATTCCCTCACCGAGGCTAGAATAATCCCTATTTTTATGGCAAGACAGGAGGCTTCATATTTGCAATTTTAACACCCAGACATACAAACAGAAGAAACATGAGATCGTAGACTGAAATAAAAAGTACGAAAAGTCGATTCCCTAGACCAGTGTTTCCCAACCCAGTCCTCAAGGCACACCTACCAGTCCAGGATTTAGGGATTACCCAGTTGTGTCTAAGGTGTTTTTACAAAGAAGAAAAAAAACACCTTAGACACAACTGGGTAATCCCTAAATCCTGGACTGGTAGGTGTGCCTTGAGGACTGGGTTGGGAAACACTGCCCTAGACCAAACAGCGGTGCCGAGAAATATCCGTAAGGGACCCACCGGCTTCTAGAACTGCTGAAGTTGCAGCGCCCCAAACTGAATGTGCCCCAAAGGAACTCGCCACGCCAGCCGATGAGAGAAACAACCGAATCCAACGAGCGATCGTAAGTGCAGAAACAGCCCTAAACAGACGTTCATAGGAAATCAACAGCATTCCATGAGCAGAAGGGCGAAATGACGAGGTCCTGGATATATACGTCCATAGGCAATGTGCCATACAGAGACGTGGCCTATCAGGAGATTAGGGATATGACACAGAAGACAAATGAGATCTCATCCTGACTGAAATAGAAACAGACACACCATCTGGTGAGAAGGAGAAAGATTCTACATCAGAACCACGAACATCAGAAATGTGACTAAAAGACCCCACTCCATTGAGCTCTTGTGCAGCAGGGATAAATTGACTGAATAAACCAGATCGGATGCCTCGGAGGACCAGGTCACAGTGGCGCTTCCTAATAAACAAACATATGGACCCTTGAGCCCGTTCTCGTAGGAGATTTAGCATCCACCGGTGTTCCACTTACAGAGCGCTATCCCCCTCTGATAGCGCTGTCCCCCTCTGATAGCGCTACTCCTGCCTCTTTATGTTTTGGAGGGCTACAATCAGGGCCGGCCTTAGGGGTGTGCGAGCTGTGCGACCGCACAGGGCGCCATGGAACAGGGGGCGCCCTGTGGCCGACACAGCTCACTCATGGCCGGAGTGCAGGGGAGCTAAAAGAGGTACCTGGCTGGAGGATTAATTATTCTCCACCCGGGTCTATTAAAAAAAAAAAGAAGAAAAAAAAAGGGGGCGGGGTTTACCGAGCGGCGGAGGCGGGCTTATCGAGAGGCGGAGACGGGGCTAATACCTCCCGAAGCCCCTGCTGTACAGGAAGAGGGAAAGATGCTTCCCCATCAGCCAACTGCATCCACTGGAAAGAGGTAAGTGTGTGTGTGTGACTGTTTGCCTGTTTGTGTGACTGTCTGTCTGTGTGTGTGTGTGACTGTCTGTGTGACTGTGTGTGTGTGTGTGTGACTGTCTGTGTGACTGCCTGTCCTTGTGTGTGTGTGTGTGTGACTGTCTGTCTCTGTGTGTGTGTGTGACTGTCTCTGTGTGTGACTGTCTCTGTGTGTGTGACTGTCTGTCTGTGTGTGTGACTGCCTGTGTGTGTGACTGCCTGTATGTGACTGCCTGTGTGTGTGTGTCTGTCTGTAACTATCTGTCTGTGTGTGACTGCCTGCCTGTGTGTGTGACTTTCTATCTGTGTGACTGCCTGCCTGTGTGTGTATAACTGTCTATGTGTGTGTTACTGTGTGTCTGTCTGTGTGTGTGACTGCCTATGTGACTGTCTGTCTGTGTGTGTCGCTGTAGCTGTGCCATTGTTTGTGCCTGTGCCTGTATGTGTGACTGCCTTTAACTGAGTGTGTGTGTACATGCCTGTAACCGAGTTTAAATTTCCCCCACCCCTTCCTGTCAAGGCCGCACTTTGACTGACAGACGCTCACTCACTGACAGACGCACACTCACTGACAGACACACACTCTCATATACACTGACAAACAATGACATACACACATACACTATTACTTGGACACACACTGACAGATGCACACTCTCACTGACAGACGCAAGCACTCACTGAAAGATGCACGACTCCACTGACCGACACATACACACTGACTGACACACACTCACTGACCGACACACACTCACTGACCGACACACACACTCACTGACTTACACACTCACTGACTTACACACTCACTGACGACACATACACACTCACTGACGACACATACACACTCACTGACTGACACATACACACTCACTGACTGACACATATACACTCACTGACCAACACACACATTCACTCACAGACACACACACATTCACTTACAGACACACACAA